ATTATATCTAAAAAACGTACATAACTTAATTTAAAAAAACTATTGCTACACAATGCTAACAATCATCTGAGCCTTCAGACAGTCATAATCTTTTTGCTGGTGGAGGATCTTGCCTTGATGTTAGTGGCTACTGACTCATCGGGGTGGTGGTTACTGAAGGTTGGGGTGGCTGTGACAATTTCTGAAAACACTGCAATGAATTTTCCCACATCAATGGACTCTTCTTTTCACAAAAGGTTTCCCTCTAGCATATGTTGCTGTTTGATAGCGTTTTACCCACAGTAGAATCTCCATCGAACTGGAGTGAATCCTCTCCAACCCTGCCACTGCTTTATCCATTAAGTTTCTGTAATATTTTAAATCTTTTGATGTCATTTCCATGATGTTCATAGCATCTTAACCAGAAGGAGACTCCATCTCAAGAAATCAAGTTCCTTGCTCATCCACAGGAAGCCATTCCTCATTGTTCAAATTTTCTCATGAGATTGTAGCAATTTAGTTGTATCTTCAGGCTCTACTTCTAGTTCTAGCTCTCTTGTGATTTCCCCCACATCTGCAGTTACTTCCTCCACTGAGGTCTTGAACTCCTCAGTGTCATCCATATGTCCAGGCAAACAGCTTCCTCCCCTCCCCAAACATAGCGGGATCCAGGGACATCAATGTGGCCAGGCTATGATAATGTAGCGCAAATAATTTATCTTATAGGTAAGTAACTAAAATCCTGTTTTACCTTCATGATTCTCTGTTTCTATAATCAGATTGTAGAAACATTTATGTTCAAAAATATTACTGGTGGCATTATTTAAGATATCGAAAAAGTCAAAAGAAATAAAATGTCTCCAACAAGATTCTGAATAAGGAAACATTGGTACGTTCCTTTGCTGTAATATTAGGGATTAATTAAAAGAAATGTAGCAAATGATGAATGACATGGAGACTCCCTTCGTTGTAGTCATCTGTCTGTCCAATGAAATGCAGGATTATACTGAGGGTGATATATGTAAATGACAGGAAAACCATGGAACATACACATTGTCGAAAAAGGAATTCTAGGTAGATTCCTGAAGAAGCAATCACTTAGCTGACATTCAGAGCAATTATTATTCAGCAATAAAGGAATGAATTTATTCAATGTTACCATGTACCAAGCATCCTCAAATACATAATTTTAATCCTCATGTCATACTTTAGATGTAATTACAATGAAACCATTGCCATTTTTACCATCCCCTGAACTTGTCTTGCTCTGCATTAAAAAAAAAAATAACAACAATGTTCTGAGTTTTCCTTCTCTTTATTTTAAAAAAATTGCGTAATCATCCGTCTTGCAGCATTTTGAACAAGACGTGCAAACTGGCTCAACTCCTCCACTGGAGCCTGGGGTATTCTGTGCAGACGGGTGTGAGACGGGGATCCCTGCAGAGCCCCCTGAGTGCTAATGCCATTCATGAGACAAGGTCACAAAGTTTAGGAAACTTGGCTTAGCCCAAAGCACCTGATTTTATTTTCAAGTGTCAATCAGCAGTAAAATGTAAATGTTCTGCTACGTCCTGTCGACCTGTCAGAAGCAGGGGGTTCCTGATTGCGTATGAAATTCCTAAACGCCAAGAACTTGAAAAACAGAAAGTACTGCTTTCCCCAGACAGCCTCAGTGCACAGAAAGCAAACTGGGCAATGGACCCTGTTTGTTTGTTTCTTCTCCCATTTCTAGAGAAGAACAAAGTAGTGCTTGGAAGAAGTGGGTAAGGGACTTGGAGCTGAGTGTAGATACTGCTACATCCAAGAGGACGGAGGGGCCAGGAAAATGGAAGGGGGGGGGTTGGGCTGCAGTGGAAGCAGGGGCCGGGCTCTTGCACAGCAGGACTGTCGAGTTTCATTCTTTTCACTGTCTGTTTTCAATGTCATACTCCTGTCTCACCCTGGCTGGGTGAGGACAGGACAGTGGGGCCCATCCGTAAGCACAGGTGGTTGAGCCCATCACCAGGCAGGGGCCTTTTGTATTGTTCAGAAACCAGCTCACCTTGCCAGTCTGTAAGTGATTTCATGGAACCCTGCTGCATGTGGTCATTAGCTGGTGCCCCTCCAGGCACAACAGGAGCTATGGTTACCTGCCACGGGGGGAAGGGGGGACAGTCGCCTAAGGTTAGACAATTGGTCCAGGTTAGCCTCCAGAGTGGGGCTCAGCAGTTTAAGCCACTCTTGGGCTCCTCCCTCCCTCCACTGGGCCTCAATACTAGCTCCCACGAGGTCAACCCCAGAGCACCTGTGCCCTGGCCAGGCAAAATGGTACCAGGGCTATGATTGGATGTGGCCCGGGGTTCCCTTCCCTCCTACCTATCCCCCCGACATGCATCCCGTGAGCACCACCAAGGCAGAACCATGGCTTTGGGGAGGCTGGATCCTTGCGCCCTGGCCCTGGCACAGCACTGGGTGTGTAGGATTGGCTGGAAGAACTTGACCCAAGTTGGGACCCTGGCCAAGACCCATCCAGTGTCACCTGCCATACAGTTTCCCGTGCTTCCGAATCTTAAGAACTTTCAAGCTTCAAAAGGGAAGGAAAATCCAGGTGAAAGGCTGAATTGGGTTCAAAGGGCTTGCCTGACACCTGGGACAGTAGGGTGGGATGACATTTAACAGGCATCAAAACGACTCCAAAAGATGGTTGAGTCGCTTGCAAGGTGGTGATGGCGGGGCGGGATTGAGTGGCCCTGTTTTCAGACTGTCCTGTTTGCTGTGTGAGACTGCAGGCTGGAGATGGCCGGACCTGCTGTGCTCCTGTCCTGCTCTGTGACCCTGCTGTGGCCCCCGCTCCTTCCTGAAGGGACAGGGAGGGGATAAAAGTCTGCAGTGGCCCTGTGCAAACTGCAGTGGGCCGTGCTGGGAGACGTGTGAAGTCGTGTGGGAGGACAGATCTCACCAGCAGGGCTGGAGTCAGCCGCTCTGGACTGGGCGGCCACGGGGCACGTGCTCTCCACCCAGCAGTAGCTGCACCTGCTCCCACCTGCACCTCGGTACCGGCTCCCTGGGGTAGAGGCAGGAGCTTCTGGAGAACGGGGTGGAGAGCCATGGGGAGGGGCCACAGAGGACAGAGAAGCCAAACTCCAAGTGAGGACAGCGATGGCACTGCAGGGCCGCAGGCCTGGCGTGTCTGCCATGCTTTCAGTTGTCAGTTGTCCTGCTGGTGGGCACCTGGCCCAGATTGCAGTTTGAAGAGCGAGCAGGAGACAGTTCCATCTGTGTGGCTGCTGCAGATGGCTGGTCACCCGGCCTCTACTGAGAGGCCGCAGTCCCAGTGTTGGTCCTCTGTGCCACACCCAGGTCAGGGGTGGGGAGAGAGGGACGGTGCCATGCCCTGAGCCTGTGCTGTTGGGCAGCGGGTGTCCTGCTCTCAGCCAGAGCCGGTGCATCTGTGGTTCAGAGCATTTTCCTAACAACCGGGAGTGATGAGGGTTGTTTTCCTTGTGGTACAAGTGGAGAAAATGAGGTTTGGCAGGAATCAGTCTGTGGCATTTTTGTTCAGACCTGCTATGTAATAGCAGCTGTCTTCTGGTCTGGGAAGAGCATCTCCTGCCATTCCTACTCGGGTTTTGGTGCTAATGGGGGAAGGGATCTGCCTGGCGGGGATCAGCATGGTGTGCTCAGCACCTCTACAACACCTGGGACCATGGCGGGCTTGTGAGAGAATTTCATTTTACAGACCAGGAGGCTGCAGCTCAGGGGCAGGTGGTGTCTGGGGCAGGTAGGGAGAGGGGAGACTAGGAACAACTGCTTTTAAAAGTAACATAAACCAGCCTGAGCAAGAGCGAGACCCCGTCTCTACCAAAAAATAGAAAGAAATGATCTGGACAACTAAAAATATATACATAGAGAAAAAATTAGCCGGGCATGGTGGCGCATGCCTGTAGTCCCAGCTACTCGGGAGGCTGAGGCAGGAGGATTGCTTGAGCCCAGGAGTTTGAGGTTGCTGTGAGCTAGGATGATGCCACAGCACTCTAGCCCAGGCAAGAGAGTGAGACTCTGTTTCAAAAAAAAAAAGACATACCAGGCAAATTCACTGTTTCACTGAAGAGTTTGGATTCTCTTAGCTACTGTATGCGAAGTCCGATTATATTGGTGCGTTTTTACAGTTAGGGTTTTGCAATAACTTCTGTATTTTAATAGAAATGAATTCCTAAATCCCCTCCCCTCTCCCCCATTTCAGGGATTTAAAGTTAAGTAGAACAAAAACCCAGTGCTCCTGTTAAAGTCCTCACTCTCTATTGTCATGGGAATCAACTTTCATTAAACTTGAAGCAGTCTGACATTGGCAGTGTTTTGGTTCAGACACCTGTTCACAGAAAAGCATGATGGGAAAATATTTCCGGACTTGAGTGTTCCTTTTTAAACGTGAATTTTTATTTCTTTTCAATTATTTTAAAATATTTAAACCTTTTTCTTGATCTTAAAGATCGTGTAGATTGGGGTTGGGGAGGGATGAAGGGTGAGTGCGTCTAAGGATAATGAAATAATCAGTGACTGAAACCATTTTCCCATCATCCTTTGTTCTCAGCATTCTCTGTACCCTTTAAGATATCCATCTTTTCTTTTTATACCCCAGTCTTTCACTTGAAAGATTTTATTGTATAAAAACTTCCACAGGTCAGTAAATTTAGAGGAAAATGAGTATTTGGTCCAAAAAAAGGAAAAACAATCAAGATTTTAGGGCTTTTATTTTTTTCTTTTGTAATTGCGTAAAAAATGGGAAAAAAACATAAAAAGCAGAATTTTAATGGGAAAACAGTTTTTGCTATAATCATTAGTTTTAGAGGCGTTGTTAGTTTAGCGTGTGTGCACAGTCCATTTCCCACAGCTTTCTTCAAGTATCTTCTATTTTTATCATGAATTCCCTTTTAATCAACTGTAGGTTATTTAAAATAAATTCCTACAACTTAACGGAAAAAAAAAAAAAAGACAGAGAAGTACCTATATCTTTCACACAAATGTAACAGCAGACACTGCCCCACCATCTAGAGAGATGAAGGTCCCGGAGCCCTCCAGGTGGTCCTCGATGGTCTCCTTTGTGTACCTTTGCCCAGACTGTCCAAGGCCTCCAGCAGGCTGTGCACTGAGGCCTCCGGCCCCGTCCTGCTGACACATCGCACCAGCATTTCATACAGGGCATCCTCCCGGCCCACTGGGCGGGCTCTGGCCACATGAATGTCGTTGTCCATCAGTGCCATCAGCCTCATGAGCGGGTTCTAGGAGTTAACGGGGAAGACATGTGGGAAGCAGTCAAAGAACAGCCTCAGAGCTAGGTCTAGAAAAGCCACAGAGACGATCAGGTGAGTTGGGACTCAGCCCAGGAAGGGCAGAGGCTCCCGCATCAGGCCTAGAACCCTAGAACCTAGTGAGCTCCCCTGCGGGGGACCTGCTGCTCCAGCGTCCCGACCTGCTCCCCATCCACAGAGAACCAGGCCACACTGCTGGGACCCCACCTGCACCCAAGGTGCTGCAGGGGACTCAAGGTCACCAGAGAATCCTGCCCTCGGGCAGGGCTGCAGCCCCCTGGGGAGGATGGAGGGAGCTGGGGAGGCAGAGAGCAATGTGGGGTACGAGCCGGAGGGTGGGGCAGAGAGTGGGTGCAGCAGCGACTCAGAGCAGGGAAGCTGCTTGGCTGCACTTGTCACAGGAGCAGGTCCCAGGGCGGCCACGCC